TGTCTAGAAAGAAAAGAGCAAAATAAGTGCTTAGTTCTAGCATTTTGTGCTGTTCTTGCAGTGGTTTGGTTTGTTTATAAAAACACGCATGTTTTGAGCATTCCACAACCCGGCAGAGACAATTATTTTACTCAAAGAGAAAACAAAACAGGTAAAATATAACATTTTTTCAAAAACATTGCTTAATACAACAAATAAAGATTATATTCTTGACACTTGATTTTTCCCAACTGAACACATATATCACCTTTTTTAATAGAACCTAGACAAGGTCCCTTTAAAGGATAATTTTAAATATCTGAAACAGATGTCCTTTAATCTTAATGTTCGAGGTCCAGAACTCAACTAAATACATTTACTTTCTTTATATAAATAAAATTTGGATGGCTATTATAACTTTCATTTGTACGTACATTTTACAATCACCATCAATTATCTGTTCATTAGGTGACAGTTCACAACTAGTCAATTCGCAGCAACTGTTAGATGGAGGTAATGCTGTTAAGCAATTGATCAAGATTATATTTAGTAAATTAATTTAACAAAATGGACGTTAACACAATAAAATTAATAAACTTAATATAATAACATTTTTTCTTGAGTGTTAAGAAATAAGTATTATTTGTCTGCAATCTATGAATGCGTGCACAGCGTGTTGTTTCTTTTAAGGAATATAATATACTAGCTGACCCGCGACGTAGCATACACCGCCATCTAGTAGTTTTATTTTCTGCTTATAAGCAATTCATAATTTGTGAATTTAACACTACCTAAGCTTAAAATCGTTTCAAACTAAATTATCTGCCCCTAATAGCCGTCACTAAACCCGGCTCTACGATTGTAAACATTTAGCGTGAACCACAGCTAACCAGACAATGTGGGGGTGGGGGTGGTAGGGATATGCCTAGAGAGGAAGAGAGGGGCTGCTAGGTGCGTTTACAGCTTGGTGTTTTCTTTGGTCTCCGTGAAGAGAATTATATATATATAGATATTGAATGTTGGTGCATTGATAAACTTTACTTTTAATGAAATGCAAATGAACATAAAGTTAATGTTTTAAACAGTTTCCACCTTAAAATGAAAACTTAAATATTGCGGTTTATTAGTTAAGTTGACTTGTAGATTTCTTTGAAAAGCCAATATTGTTTTCTAAGCACTTCATATATTTATTTATCTTGGCTTTGACAAGTAACACCTAAGAAAATATCTCACAAAATACGTAGTAAAACAACCGTTTTAGAGAAAAAAATCAATTTTATTCCTATGTTGTTTTATGCTAAACCCTAATGTTGCTTCTCCCTAGGTCTGTATAACTTTACTGTCGTGTCGGGCATGATTAACATCGGACGAGGAAAATGGAAGAATTTGAATCGAACCTACGAACATTACCTAAGGTGCTTTAAACAAGTCCTGGGGTTAAAGGTTAATCTGGTCCTGTATGTCGACGCTAAAGCTAAAGCTTTTGCCGAAGAGCAGAGACGGGGCATGGAGAGTAGGACACACATCATAAAAACAACACTACGAGACACTCCTTACTACAAGTAAATAATGCAATTACTAAAATACCATAACTAAAAGTAGATAAATGCTAAAGTTGAAGTTGAAGCTTTTTTTGTTTAGAGAAAGGAAACGAAAAACGATCACCATAAATCCCGTTCAATTTCCCCTTCAAAAGGGCTAAATGTCTAGTCTACATGTTCATTTCACTGTCCTTACTTTGTCTTTCTGTCTTTCGTTTTCTATGACAAAACTCTGTGGCGTCATATAAACGAAAATAAAATTTTCAAATGAAGTTAAAATTAAAGTAAAATGAAAATCACAGCAAAAAAGGGGTCATCCATAAATGACGTCACGCATTTTTGACGATTTTTACCTCCCCCCCCCCCCCCCTCCGTCACAAAAAGCCAGACCCCCCCCCCTAAAATGACGTCACACCTCAGCCTACAACCCCCCCCCCCCCATCAAAATTGCAGTTGAATTTTTTTTTAAACATCGATATTTTTCCAAAATCTTGACTGAACTCTGTCAAAATACAGTATTTTAATCGATTCCTATTGCAATTTATTAAAACAGTTTTCTACAGCGCGAAATAACGTCTAGAATTCGTTTTCAAACATTGCTTTTTTATAATGCAAAAGTGTGACGTCGCACACACCGTCAACAAATTACGGACCTTCCCCCTTCCCCCCTTCGAGTGCGACGTCATTTATGGACGACCCCAAAGATAATGACGACATTGATAATAAGGACACACAATCTACCGCGTTATTTATTTCCTAACATTAAAAGTGTATTAAAATTACATATAATGAAAATATGGCTAACAAAACTCAATATGAATAAACAGCTATGGGATTAAGTGTTCGCGTTACATTTATGATTAGGAATTCTGTTACAGTTACTTTTAGATAAGGGTTAAGGCTCCGATTTCGGTTACGATTTGGGTTTACATTCATGTTTCGGCTCATTTGAAAGTTTAGATACCGGTTCAGGTTCAAGTTTCGATCTCGGTTAAAGTGCATGTACCTGTTAAAATGTAGGTTCATGGTAAAATTAAACTTCAGATTAGGGTTCAGGCTAAATTGACGGTAACGGATTAAATTTTGGTCCTGAATAAGGTTTGGTTACTTTTAAATTCATTTTAAAGTTCCGGTTAAAATCTCCGTTATGATTATGGTTAAAGTTATTGTTCCAGTTGAATTACAATACCTCTACATATAATACCTCTTACAGCTCGGTAGTCTCGATTTAAATAACGAATCAAGTTTTAAAAAAAAACATTTTACTGTTACAGTTGCAGTTGAAATTAAAAATATGTCTGCGGTTTATGATCAAGTTTCCTTCACTGAAAATTTTTTTTCGTTTACGTTTACGTTTACGTTTACGTTTACGTTTACGTTTACGTTTACGTTTACGTTTACGTTTACGTTTACGTTTACGTTTACGTTTACGTTTACGTTTACGTTTACGTTTACGTTTACGTTTACGTTTACGTTTACGTTTACGTTTACGTTTACGTTTACGTTTATGTTTACGTTTACGTTTACGTTTACGTTCACGTTCACGTTCACGTTCACGTTCACGTTCACGTTTACGTTCACGTTTACGTTTACGTTTACGTTCACGTTCACGTTTACGTTTACGTTTACGTTTACGTTTACGTTCACGTTTACGTTCACGTTCACGTTCACGTTTACGTTCACGTTTACGTTCACGTTCACGTTCACGTTCACGTTCACGTTCACGTTCACGTTCACGTTCACGTTCACGTTCACGTTCACGTTTACGTTTATGTTTATGTTTATGTTATTTTAGGCGTTTAAGTGCGCGAAGGGGAGAGAGTTTATGGATATGTTTGTTGTTGAGGTGTGGATTACTGTTAATCGTTTTTATGGATTAGGGGATTTAAATGTTTGTTTGTGGATGGTTGTGGTTAAGGTTAGAATTGGATTTAGTTTTATTGTTAAAAATAATCAGTATAAATTTCATATAAACATTAATTAAAATATTTAATATGCTAATTTTTTTTTATACATAGTCCAGTGCAGACCGTAGCCAGGACGGCTAGTATAACATAAATTTCGGTAATCAAACAAAGATATAAGGGTCGGCGTGGTCGAGTCTGTAAAGCTCATGGTTGCTAAACCGAAAAGTCTCGATGAGGCTCGTTAGCTGGGAATAGCTACTCCTCCAAGAGAGTAACTCCAAAATCAAACAACTGCCTTGTGTTTGTTCTTGGTTGGACAAAGGCTATGGAAGAAAATCCAAAAAGAAAAGCAGTCTGAACTCGGAGTCAATGGCCTCAATGGCGCATAATCAGTTGACTTGTATACTAAATTGTATTGGTGGGGATCCTATACAACACCAAAATTAAGAACGAAGAAGAAGAAGAAACAAAGATGTGTGCAACAAGTTTAACGAAATAACTGTAAGCAAATGTATCTTCCGCAGGTTGTACCCTAGAATGGCTGAAATAATGAACAGTACCGAGTACAAGAAGGACAACGAGTTGTTTAAGTTGAATCTCCCTGAGGCACTCTATCCTGATTATGTCATTATTACATGGACCAAGCTATACTTCATAGACAGGTAAGTTATCACGTTTCTTCTAGTTTTTCAAAATGTAATTTAATTCAACACTTCCTAGGTGGAGAAGTAAACAAAAAACTATAATGCGCTACATATTTCGTGTTAATTATTTGTTAGGTCAAACTACACTGTTTACATTTATTTTGAACCATTCATAAAATATTTTTATTATTATTTATTTTAGATATTTTTTTCTTTTTCCTTCCAGAACTATAAAAGAAAATCCATTCAAAAACAATTTTTTCATTTGGCTGGATGGTGGCTACGGCCATTGCGCACCGATATTTCCAGCGAGTCACATTTGGAGGCCGCGCGGACTGTTCGAGCATGCAGATAAAGTCACCTTCATAGAACTCGGAAAAGGGATTGAAGAGTTCAGAAATGTCAAAGATAAAATCCACAAAATGTCAATTGCTGTAATAAATGGTGGATTCATAGCAGGTGGAACTTCAGCGCTACAGAAATTGTACAGTCTGCAGAACGAACAAGTAGAAGAGTGGATGGATCATGGAATAGTTGACGACGAACAGACGGTTTATTTAACGCTGTGTTACAAATATCTATCGATGTTCCATTTAGTACGAGGCACTTGGCATGATGCATTTAAACTTTTTAACTCCGAAAAATGATTTGCAATAAATCTCTAGTTATAGCGTAAAATTAACTATGACTGAGGACTTTGAATATTTGACTCCAAAAAAAACAACGCTATACTAGAATTGGAACTTATTTGCATATGCTGCTCTTAATTAATATAAAATGAAATTTTAAACTCAACTTTGTTAACAACCATATTATTAATTTTAAAATGTATCTCTGTTTTTTTTTAAATAGATACTTTTTATCAGCCTCATTTATGATATTCAATATTCATATGTCAAAATCTTGTTTGATAAAAATGAAATATGTATGTATTACAAGCACTGTTGTATATATTGGTTTAAGGTAAACGTAAAGTAGTGTGGTGGGGCAGTTTTGACGGTGTGTCGTATAGTTTTATAATTTATAGTATCTTAAATAAAAATGGGCTTAACTGTGCATACTATGTAAAATTTTAAATGATTATCAATTTTCAGAAAGTCTCATTTAAATCTTCACATTATTTTCGATATATATTGGACTGTAGCAAAAAGAAGACTGCACCGAAAATAACATATATATATATATATATATATATATATATATATATATATATATATATATATATATATATATATATATATATATATCCTACTAAGGGAAAGTAAGGGAAATTGGAAGGAAGTGGGTCAGCGATTTTACATTCCCAGTAATATGCGCAAAGAGAGAAATGAAGCGAAAAAAGACATTTCCCCAAACACATAAAAATGTGCAAACAGACATATGCGCACACAGAAAAATAGGCAAACAGAAAATTCCACACATAGAAAAATGTGCAAAGATAAATATGCGCACACAGAAAACTACACAAAGATCGCTTACCAATGAGTATTATATGAATGTGCGTGTGTTTATGTGTGCATGTTTGAGTTTTTACTTGCCTATGTGCATACATGAAATATTTTATATCAACGTCGTTATATTTTTCTATAATACACTTGCGTGCCCGTCGGCGCGTTGCCGCGGAGTCAGTCATTTGTGTGTGTGTGTGTGTGTGTATATATATATATGTGTGTGTGTGTGTGTGTGTGTGTGTGTGTGTGTGTGTGTGTGTGTGTGTGTGCGTATATTTATGTATGTACGAATCGAGGGCTTGATCAATTGATGTATAAATTGATGCATGGATAGGGAAAAAATAAATAAACGGATTAGATGGAAATCGGACGAATCGGAATGAAACAAAAAAAAATTAATGTATCATAATTGAATATAGATCAGTATAGGATCTTCGCAAACGATGAAATATAATGGCATCGTAATATTGGGGTAAGTGGATGTTTTACTTGACGTGTAAATGTAAGAAGAAGTCGAAAAAAAAGAAGACATCTCTATGATAAATGTAAATTGTAAATAGTGAACAGGTAAAATAACGTTTTATAAGCTTTTCTTTTTCGCTTTTGTTAGTCTCATTGAGTCGTATTAGCACCCCCCCCCCCCCCCCCCCACACACACACACACACCTTTCTCTCTCTAATGCCATCGAGTCTAACCCCATAAAAATAATATTTGTCTTGTTTATTTAATTAAATTAGTATTTAGCATACCGGTTCGTTTTTTGTACCACGCTATCCATTCATATGACGAGGTAACAGAAACAGGTGGACTCTGCATCACCTACCCCACTGACCGTCACGGTCGAGCGGTAATGGTTTTACAGATGATGCCGGGAACGCTCTTGTATCGCAAGAGGGGTAAGAAGCAAACCTAACCTAAAATAATGCACACATTTGGCTATTTATTCTCACAAAAATGGAACAACAAACTGGCTCCGACACTGACATCCTCAAAAAGGACCCACAATTAACATTAAAACTATGATTCATAACATAAAGTAATCTGTAAATTAAAATAATAAATGCAGTAGCGTTAAAAGATGCTGTGAAGTTCCATTTCCGCTTCATATTTTTATTGATAGGTATTTATGCTTAAAGAAATCAGAGAATTCTGTGCCTCTATAAAAAGCGATGTTGTTTCGCTTTTCTGCAGTTTTTTTAGTCTTTGCATGGAACGGATTTCAGCGAGTGCTGAGAATCCAGGTTGGTGACTTAGATCTAGTGAATAAAACAAGTTAATTAAAAAAGTCTAGTGACATTTATGCGCAATTTCCTTATGTTATCTAAAAATAGCTCTGACGTATAATGCTGGGATGCGTTCAAGCTAGAAGAACAATCGGTTTGTAGGTGTTTTTGTAATTTTAAAATTTGTGACCAAACGAGAGGATATTTTTGAAAACTTTCTTCGGCAATATTGCTCTAAATTATGGCAGGAATCGATTGGTACATGTTTCAAGTCGCTAAGTGGTCTGGTTGACGAGATATGGGCCAAAAACTGCTTTTTTTCGAGGTTTTTTGGCTTTTCCGGGAAATACATGAAAGAAACCCGGAATTTTTATGGCCTATGCTCATTCTTGTAACTTGCTTAACATAATTGCTTTTGGAACTAGTCATCGATATTGCTTCGTTGAGGAGGAGATACGACTTAAAGCCCGGACACACATTCATCCATACATTCATCCATCCATCCATCCATCCAGAAATGACGCGTTAATAAACGCAATTCTCCAGAATGGAAATTGCGCTAAAAACTTCTATCACACAACCAACAGGAGATACTGCTCCATCCTAACTCACTTCCATAACAAGCCAAAAACGAGAGCCGCTTTGTTCAGAGAGTATATTGGATTCCACATAGCTGTTCGCGACTAGGCCTATATAGATTTATTTATTACTGAACAGAGCAAATTTCTATAAAGATAGTAAGATAATAATGTTAATAGCAAATCGCCACACAAAAATAGAAACTGCCTAAGAAAGCTGCTATATTTTTATTGTCAGGCAAAAGAACTGTTTACTACCTTCTATAATACTAAAGAGAAGCATGTATATGGCTCCATTGATACACAATACAGAAACTGTTACTGTCAGGTCATCAGACTGGTACTGATAGTAAAAATACAACTTAAGCATGAAGTAATCCACCCATATACAGAGGGTGTAGTGAGTGTATAGGTGTGTGTTTGCGCATGCGTGTTTGTATGTGTGTGTTTGGTGGTGACTGGTCTGTGTATTACCTGGGGTAGTTGTGTCTGGGGAGGGAGTGGTCTAGCGGTAGAGAGCTGGACTGCTAACCCGTAAGTCTCGAGTTCGAATTCGGGTTCAAGTCAGTAGACCGTCCCAACTCTGATGGGTACTTAACTCACGTTAGGGAAAGTAAAGGCGGCTGGGCATAGTGCAGACCACACTATCTCTTCATATATTTTGCATGACAACGTCTTCAAAATATCTCATACAGATTTTTGAACTGAAAAATCAATATATTGAGAGATTATTACATTTTAAATATGTTCAATAAACACAAAGCTTCAACTACTTGCCTTTGATGTCTTTATGTTACGAATTATTTATGATTTTGGATTATGTAAAGAAATTTATATTTGGAAACAAATTCGAAATGCTGAAATTTAAAAAAAAAAACTAATATTCGATTATAATGAAAGGTAAGAAATATAAAAGAAATATGAAATTGATGAATGTGTACGGCATTAATAGGTGGATAGATAGACAATATATAGATACATAAGTGGAAGGTTCGATAAAAAGAATAGCGAGATGAAAGGATAGTGAGATGGAGGGATACTGAGATGGAAGGATAGCAAGATGGAAGGATAGCGAGATGGTAGGCATAGCGAGATGGTGGGATAGTGAGATGGCAGGATAGTGAGATGGAAGGATAGCAAGATGGAAGGATAACGAGATGGAAGGATAGTGAGATAGTAAGACGGAAGGATAGCGAGATGGAAGGATGGTCGAATATGCGAAAGGACGAAGTGATGAGCTGAGGGATAGACGGAGTGATTCATGGACGGATGAAATGATGGTTAACTCTACATCATCTACCCTCTTGATCGACAGTTCTGAAAAGACAGCTTATCTAGTCTATATAATATTATAGCCAATGTGATCAGTTTGTTCAGCGATATATGGAGAACTTTGCTGAAAATAATATGTTGGATGTTTGATGTTTTAAATTTATAAACTAAATTCTATCTAATGAAGGCAAATAAATATAAAAATGCATGTTCGAATGCAGGAACATATTTTTAATGATGCAATCGGAAAAGTGTTAATTGTTGTAACAAAAAGTGAAGATTTAATGTCACATGTTTTGTATGAGGAGTGACGGTGTAATGTCACATGTCACATGTGTTGTAAGGAATGACGGTGTAATGTCACATGTTCATGTGTTGTGTGAGGAGTGACAGTGTAACGTCACATGTGTTGTGTGTAGAGTCACGGTGTAAGGTCACATGTCACATGTGTTGTGTGAGGAGTGACGGTGTAATGTCACATGTGTTGTGTGTAGAGTGACGGTGTAATGTCACATGTGTTGTGTGTAGAGTGACGGTGTCACATGTCACATGTGTTGTGTGAGGAGTGACGGTGTTTTGTCACATGTCACATGTTTTGAGTGTGTAGTCACGTTGTAATGTCACATGTGTTGTGTATAGAATCATACAAAGGCAAGGTGTAGTAGTTCAGGTCCCAGTCTTGACAAAACTTACCATACCACATCAGCTAATATTTTTACTATAATAAATGTGTGGGTAATGCAACTGAATCATTTGCATTAATTGCCTTGTTTTGGTTTAGTTAAATTATTATTATTATTATTATTATTATTATTATTATCATTATCATTATCATTATTATTATTATTATTATTATTATTATTATTATTATTATTATTATTATTATTATTATTATTATTATTATTATTATTATTATTATTATTATGTTCTAAAACCATAGATATTAATTCATATACGGGAGTTAACTCGAATATACTTAATATAATGTTGTTACTTCCCTTACACCATAAACGCTAAATTTGCATCCGATTTAGACTGGAGCCTTTATTACATGTGTATTCTGTGTTACGGCCAGATGTTCCGGCTTTGAAGCAGTACAACCCCCTTGAGGCATAAACAACACAGGCGACGTTTTGATAAACAATATAAAGAAATTGTTTGAAATTTCTATCTAGAGGTCTAAATACTGTTCAGTCTAAATCAATAGAACGTATGAGTGTTTAGCATGTAGTGTGCTCGAGATTACACCGAGGCTCACTTGAAGGTTAAGGGGGGGTAGCTGTGGTGCAACCCATTGATTATACTGCTTTTAGTCAAATTTAAAACCCTATACAGTCTTATCATAATCCTCATATTGTTATATCTAAACCACCATCTTCCGCGAGGTCGTTGGTTGATTTACAAGGTAAAGAGGGATCGGCGTGGTCGTGTCGGTAA